CGAAGCTGCTTTAATGTTAGATGGGAACCTTTTAACTTGTTTTAGCAAACCTGATCAGTATTAAAAATGACTTGACAAATATGACACTGGTCACTACTTAGTGATTAATTAATCGTAACATATCACTCATACAGAAGATGGATTACGGTTCGAATAGCTCGCTAGTAATGTCTTTGACTATGAAGCTGGGTGAATGTTTGAGGTTTCATTTCGTGACTATTCAGTTACTTTACAGAGTAGACTAGTTGATTAGCCACATTAGAACGTGACCGATGTAATTCGATCAGCACTAAGGAAGACTTGACAAACATAACATTAGTCATTAATAAATGATCAGTCAAATATAAATAACCAGCTCCATATGAGCAAATTGGCTGATAAATACATATTTAGATACAACTTGCACAAAACTTATTCAATGTTTAGACAATTTTGGATGAGACTATAATTTATGTATGACTTTCGAGTGACGTCGGTATAACCTTGAGTATGTCCACCTAATAACTTGGATTAAATGAGGTTTTTAAAGCAATGTGAGGAATTAGAATTATGTTTTACAGTTGATGGTTAGAATTGGGAACTAGATTTAGTTTTCATCATGAACTAACATTAGTTAAAATACCGAAATACTGTTTATCCAGATGAATGAATGAGTTTCGTGCCGAAATCCAAAACCTGTTGTTATATTTGGAGCTTAGATTCTTTTTATACCGCTTACTGCTTGAGCACTCGAGTGCTAAAGCTTTCCAAGCCATAAATGAGAAAACAGAAGAGGAATCAGAAGGAACAATATTCCAAGTAGTAGCAAATATGGTACAAAACTCTCAGGTATTTACAGTTTTTAGTAAAAGCGAAATCATCATTATAGTCGTACGATCCTCATATAGTGGTTTTTAGCATTTGTCCAATGGGGATGATCCACATCAAGATTCTGGAATGTTCCTCCAAAATATGATTGGATGGAATATCTTTGTCATCTTTGAGATTTTTAGAGCTTCCTAGAGGTCACCCATGGAAAATCCTGAAACTAACCACCTTATATCTTATTGGTTCATCCATAAATTATAGTCTCAACCATTTTTGTTTTCTTTTTAATTTATGTTATATATATAAAGCGTTTAATTAGGAGCAGACATGAAAAGGATTGCTCAGGACAGAATTGGATAGATAATGCTAGTGAGCGGTCTACACTCCTCTACGAGGGCTAACATGCGTAAATAAGTAATATAAAAAAAAATTAGAGCAAGGTGTGATTTTAAAAATGTATAGGCAAGCCCTCACCTAAAATGCTCAAGGTCAAAAGAAAAGAGGAAGACCGAAGAACGAATTAACGCGACACAGACTTGAGAAGAATGAATAACAATTAGATTGAACTAGAAAGGAAGGCCCAGGACAGACTGGGTCGGCGAATACTACTGAGCGGCTCTATCTATCTATCTATCTATCTATCTATCTATCTATCTATCTATCTATCTATCTATCTATCTATCTATCTATCTATCTATCTATCTATCTATCTATCTATCTATCTATCTATCTATCTATCTATCTATCTATCTATCTATCTATCTATCTATCTATCTATCTATCTATCTATCTATCTATCTATCTATCTATCTATCTATCTATCTATCTATCTATCTATCTATCTATCTATCTATCTATCTATCTATCTATCTATCTATCTATCTATCTATCTATCTATCTATCTATCTTTCTATCCATTTATGATGAATAAAATTTTCTTATGTAAACATTTGTTTTGTATATTTTTCTGTTGAATACATAAAAATATTTACAAAAATATTTGTGTTTGTTTTCACCATTGAATAGAACTAATTAGATGGTAACTAATTGAAAGTCACAAGATAAATATCGGATGATCATACCATTTCTGATTAAATTGGTAACACTCTATAAGCTGTAGATATATTTTGGACATTAGATATAACTTTAGTCAATCTGTGTGTAAACATGGTGTTAAGACTATTCATTTGTTTATATGTGATTGTTTTATACAGTAAGTTGAAATATTACTGTTTTGTGTTTTATCTTTTTGGAGAATTAAAATTGCAGGAATAAGGGGGTTATAGAAATGGTAATAATTTAATGGCTGAATTGATGATTTGATTTATGATAAATCACCATGGGGAAACCTGGAATTGATTCATGAATTTAATCATAAAATTACTACAATTTCTACAAAATTCATATTCTTGACAATCATCAGAATGTGCTCACTAATGATTAGCTTCAAGTTATGTTTCCTGCAATTCTAGTGAGTAGACATGACTAATAGAGTTCAACCGTGTCTGTTGTGAGGCCGTAGCTCACTGAACATAATGGTGGACGGTGATGCATTTTTGTGGGGGTTGATTTAAGTTATACAATACCACCGTCAGATATCGGTTTAATGTTCTAGAGGTTAGGTCAAAGGTACTGGGTCGAATCCTGTGTGCAGGATCGTAGGTGCACACTGCTGAGAAGTCCCATATTAGGACGAAACGGCCATCCAGTACTTCCAGGTTTTCCATGGTGGTCTAATCTTGATCGACTCATGAATTCAACCATTAAATTAAAATTGTATTAAATGTTTTCTCTTTAGGAATTTCTGTTTAAATCTAAAGTGATACTCCATCTTATAATAGTTTGGCAATGAGTTCATGTTAAACAATAGTAAAGGGTAATATATTTATAAACTTGAATTAGACTATCTAACGAAACAATTTAGTTTGTTTCATTCCAATAACTCATTATAATACTCTAAATTAGTTATTATGACATAGTTTTCATTATATTAAGATGGAGCAAATTGATAGAAAGTATTCATTGTTTGTATACAGGATTACAATTGATTATAATTAAGTACTATTAACATATTAGTACAATGACATAGTTACAAGTTCGAATAGATGAAGTTATTACTAACATGCTTTCATATGTATTAACATGAAATAACCTAAATCTAGTAATCAATGTTGTTGTTATGATTAGTCGACTTCACCATTCAGTGCTTTATTGTAAACTTAAGAAATGTAACATAAACAGTAATCTATCATAATTGAATGACATAATCAATCATACCATAAGTGAAATTCTCATATTTAAACATTTTCATTATAAAATAGTTTAGTGTTATAATCTTGATCAGTATTTAACATTATCTTAACCTATTCTAATGTGATTTTAATACATAAAAACATGTAATTTTTCCTCAGAATGAATGAATACATGAATATGGTGATACCTTTGAGTGACGTTAGACTGACCTTGAGTGTATCCCTTTAATAACCAAAACCAAATGAGGGTTATAAGTCGGTTTGAGAAATTTGAATTATGATTTACAGTTGATGATTAAGGTTAGGAATTAAATTTAGAGTTCTTGTTTTATCACGAACTGATATCAGCTATAATGACGAAATAGTATTTAACCAAATATATGAATGAATTTCGCGCCAAATTATGAGACCTGTTATCTTATACGTGATTGGTTCATCCATAAGTTAGAGTCTTGCCCATGGATATTTTTGAATAAATTCAGTCAATCAGTCAGTTACAACGTAGGACCACGTATAATTATACATCGGTTCAACTTGCTATATCACATTAACACAATAAGATGAAAAGCAAATTCATAGAAGTACTCACTTTAATGGTGGTAATGTATAAAAGAAAGATTGTGTATAAGGATATAATACAGGAAGAATGGATTAGTTAATAGAAAGAAATATATAAAACAATTTTATTCTCACAGTTTAAAGGAAGACAATATAATGTTCAATAAACTATACTCTGAAAAGTGATGATAGGTTCAGTTAACGATTTGCATATAGGAAAAAAAGCGCTCATCCTGGATTCAACTACTAACTATCATCTATCTCTGCTTATAACGCTTGTGAATTATGGCTATATCATAGCAATTCTCATATGTTGCACATATTCCAATAAGATATGGATTAATTGAAGTTCTCAACATCAATGGGAATATTCTAATAGCCAATACAAAAATGAGTCAAATATGAACACTTTTTTTCAAGTTTAATATAATCATTTTAAATTCTCTTTTAAAACAGTGTTTGTTTGTCATATTCCATTTATTACATAATCAAATAACTAATTAACGTGGAAAATAATTGAGATCTTAAATCTATTGATGTTAGACCATAACTGAAAACCTGTAAGCGCTGGACAGCTGGTTCGTCCTATTGTGGGATTTCTCAGCAGTGTGCATTCACGATCCCACTCGTGGGATTCAAACTAAGGGCCATCAATCTCGCGCGAATGTTTAATCTACTAGACCACTGAGCCGGCCGACATCTAACGGTGTTAATGTGTAACTTCAACCAATCCACGAAAATAATGTCAGTCATCATGAAATCGTATTCATCAATATTGAATAACCAGTGGTTCATATCAGTATAGGGGTTGTAGAGATTATTAAGTTTTTGATTGAGATCATAAACTGATTGATGTTAGATCACCGTTAAAAACCCGGAAGTACTGGATGACCATTTATAGTTTATAGTTTGTTTGATTTCTTTAAGAAATACTACTAAAATTGAATCAGTTTAAACAAAATTCTAGTTTAGAATGCTTAAAATGCATATATCTAGGGATTTTTCTTTCATAGCTTAGCGTTTTTTTAGCGAGTTACTTTTCCACAGGATGGGGTCGCTAACCCCATGTCCAACCCTCCTCCTTTACTTGGGATTGGGACCGGCAGTAACTTTAGAAGAGCTACAGGCGGAGTTTTCATAGCTTAGACAGATATGTAATTAACAGTGGAGTTCCATTTAAGACTAATCAGTTAAATGTATCTTCATCTTAATGTTGATCATCAAAAAATAGAATTCAAACTTAGTCCAAATGATGGCAATTCATATTCTTTCTAAATAGAGAATAATATCATAACCAATGTTGTTATGATTCAGATTATAATCATCACTTAGTTCTATCCACAATTCTATCTAATTTAAGTTTTATTCTTTCAATATTTATAGTTGTACTACAGATGATTATTGTTGAATCCAATGTCAATGTCAATTTAGCAGACAATGTCGATGAAGGTAAGTCAATTATTATTGTTTTGTATGTATTTAGTTATACAACATAAGAGGATATTTTGTTTATCAGTATCAATGTCGAAGTTGACCTTGATGAATACCAATAATAGTTGAATATTGAATAGAAAATCAATATTGAATATATATATATACTTTTTTATCAGAAAAGGGTTTTGTGGAGAATCTGGAAGCAATGAACTGACGTTTCATCTTAGTATGGCACTACTCAGCTATGCACACCCCCACGCTCTTGCACGTGGGATTGGAATTCAAGATCTTCGGTCGCATGAGGGAACGTCTAACCTCTAGACTAATGAGCCGACATTCGACGGTGTTAATGTCTAACTTCAACTAATCTACGAAATCGCTCCACCATTCACCATTGTCTCCAGTGATTAACTATCTCACAACAAACCCGTTTGGATGCTGGATCAGTGTTCTAAAAGTTAATTACTCACGCTTGAGACTGAAGGTAATTGGTTCGAATCTCGCATGCGGAAGCGTGGATATGTATTATTGAGTGGTCTCATACTAGAACGAAATGGCCGTTAAGTCCTTCAAGGTTTTTCATAGTGGACTAGATTTAATCGACACATGAATTCAACTATTAAATTTTAGTATCATTTTTAACAAAACAATGTATTCTATTAATTTTTCAAAAGTTGAATTATTGATTAATTAATATTGTTTCATTGGTTGAAGTCATGAGTCAATTGAAGCTAGACCATCATGGAAAACCTGGAAGCACTGGACGGCCGTTTCGTCTTGGTATGGTACTCCTCAGAAGTGCGCATCCACGATCCCGCACCCCGCGTGATTCGAACCCAGGACCTACTGGTTTCGCGCGCGAACACTTCTGAGGAATTCCATACCAGGACGAAACGGCCATGCCGTGCTTCCAGGTTTTACATGGTGGTCTAGCTTCAATTGACTCATGAATTAAACTAGTGAAATTTCTAAAAATCTCCTCAAAACCCATTCTGATAATAATCAATATTGATTAAAGACAAATCAATACATTCAAGTTAACTTATTGATTGGACATTTAAAATGATATAAATATATTCAATGTTCATTTTGATGTTGTTTTAATTAGTTATGAATCCATAGTTGGTACATAAATAAATTTACATTAATATATAGTCTTGTAGTCATTTGTATATCAAGACACTGTCAGTTTATTCGACAGTCATAACAAACAACTGTACCAACAGTAATGTCAGGATTTTATCAAGTCACTTTCATGACAATAATATGAGTAACATTGATAGGAATAATAAAAAAAGTTTCATCAAAATCATGAATCCATCTAAGTTGTAAAACTATTAAAAATCTGGAAACATTGGACGGTTTTGTCGTCCTATTATGAAAGTTCTTATCAGTGTGCACCTACAATGCTAAAAGAGAGAATCGAACCAAGGAGCTTCGAATTCGCACACCTTCCGACTAATTAGTCGGTATCCAACAATGTTATTAGTTATGATTTGATGTCCGGCTTTTTATCACGTGACTTATCCACCAATCAGGATACGACTTATGCAAATCTTCACACTATGCCAAACCAATGACGTTCAACCGGTATAAGTAGTCTAGCGTCCTAATTGGTCCTATGTCCTTCTAGCCCGTCCACTTGGGGCCAGAACACAATACCAGCTTCTGTAATATGAATCAAATCAAATCATTTATTTCAGACATACTTGGTTTATCTATCAACCAAACAGACCACAACGTAGCATAAAATAGAAAATAACATGTGTACACAAATAAGCCAATAAGTGACTGTGAACGCGGGAGATAGTAATTAATAGAATGATCATAGCTTAAGAACCGTAAATCATATAATAATAAATTATACGTCAAAATAAAGCTTATAATAAGAGGAATATGAATATACATAGTCTAATTATTGAATAGTTATACAATAAGAATATTTATAGAATATTAGTCCCCAGAAGTTACCCGTAATTTAGTCTTCACTCGGATATAACAATAATGTCTAACGTTTTATCCATTGTTTTAGGTAGATAAGACTTCACTAGTCACAGGTACTCATTGCAACTTTAAGAAAAATCTATCTTTAAGCTAGATACTAATAATTACATGGTTATTATTATCAGAATAGAGATTTATGGAGATGAAATAATTGTCCAGTGCTTTCAAGTTTTCAATGATCATACAGATTAGAAGAATTATTTATGCATTCATGTCTATAGGACTTTACAATCATGTTTATATTGTTGTTTATATGATTTTCTTCCATATTTATATATATATGTATATAGATAGTTTAAAAAAAGAGCCAACATTTTGGTTATTACAAGAAGCTGAAAACTATTTCTATTTTGAATGGACTCCATTTTATGAATTAAAAAGTGATGCATTAAAGCTGAATTCAAAAAAATCTGATATAACAAGACAATTAAAAATGGATGAAACTGCATCAAAATTACAAACTATTGGTACAGCATGTATAAATGAAGAGTATACTATTACAGATCATCGTTTACACATTTATTTGATTGATAGTGTCAATTCAAAAAGGAAATTAAATTATAAACGTAGTGAGTTCTAATTATGTTAGTATAAATGATAAAGATAATTAGTAGTATATTACTGAATAACAGTTGAAATCCAATTTTGTTGTTTATAAAAATATGTTCAAAGTAAGAGAAGTAAATGGTGAACTGTAAAGAAGAGTTTTGATTGATCAGTTAGATTTATCGATTACTTATTTACTTAACAATGTCATTCCTTGAGGAAGAATATAAACTGCACAACAACATTCTGCATTCAACTCTATCCTAGACATTTCTTTTTTATTTCTTTACAGTTTTTGTTCATTATTTTGATGTTAGTTTCCAATTACTGGAGTAATATGTTTTTCGACTTTCCTCTTTGTTGGTTCCGTTCACGATTCCAAGTTAGCACTTGACTCATGAAGAAGTTTGGTGATTTCCCTTATGAATGCTCTACCCACTTTCAACGTCTTTCTCTATACATGTGACTTCTGATTGCACAATCACGCACGTACGAAACTACTGTAATTGCGTTACTTATTAGTAAGTGACGCGAACCAGAGGACATGTAGAAATGCTGACCTTACGAAAACTTTGGTACAATGAAACATTTGACGAGGCATACAAGAATCCCAAATCTTATGTTTGCACACTATTCTCCTTATACGCATATATCGATTATCGATATTATGATTTCTGTTGATTTCAGATATCTCAAAATATCATTTTGAAATAATCAATGCACATAATAAGCCATTAATATTTTATGAAAAGCCGTGCTTATTTGTATGGAGTTAATCTTTAGTTGTGAGATCTTTGGTGCACATTCTTACTAAGTATATTAGGATGAAACAGTTGTTTAGTGTTTCGTCATTTTCAGTGTTTATTTAAGAAAGATCGTTCTATGCTGTTAACTATTTATATTTGTAAGAATATTGTGTAAACAGCACTTTAATGTTCAGTTTTTAGAGTGCAAAGTCCAACAATCGGGATGACAAATAAAAAGCCCGCATACATAACATGGAAAATAAACGAAAAAATTTGCAATCCATACGATGCAATAGTGATTTTTAAAAAAGATTCAACAGGATTTCATCGAATGCATATTGTCTCTGTTGATGAAACAGCATTTTATTTTGATGAAATATTACAAGACCAAGAAGAGATTATTATTACAAGTTATCATGAGAATATGTTTGGTTTATCTGAATTAGGTAAGTCTATAAAGTGACTTTAATAACCGAAAATGTATCGACGTCTAATTCTCATTAGCTGTCTAACTGAAGTTTATTCGTACGAACTAATATCACTGGTTCACGCAAGAAATGCCAGTAATTGACCACTCGATTGGTTTGCTTTTATTTCCCCTTTATTGGTTGTTTGGGTTGATGAGGAAAAACGGAACCTAGCTTTAAGTTTAGTAGATGGCGGCTTTTGAAGCTTCTTTCTATGTCCTCAGAAATTATTAATTCTGAAGCGAGCAAGAAGATCAGAAATATCAACATCTAGATCGTAATTAAAGATAAGGAATGACAATGAAGAGTGACCACACGCTCTGCGATAATAAAAAAGGGAAAACTCAAGCAACCAATACAAGGGAAACAAAAGCGAAGAAGAAGGAAATAAAGCGGATGAAAGCGTAAATAAAATGGGAATGTGAATTTTTCGCCTCCATGTCGGTAATTTAAAGTTTTAAGAGCTATTTGTAAGGGATTCAAGAAAGACCATTCACTAATTATTATTACTAGCTCCATTCGGTATTATATTTTTTTTAGTAAAAAACGTAATTTTCAGCCAAAAGTATTTCAACAATTTTTCTTTTCGTATTTCTTGATCTATTATGTCAACAAATAATAAGTGATTGCCAGCTGGAAGTTAGCGGTCCAGTCTATCGATATCTTAGAAATGTACATTTTTTCGCTACGTATTATCAGCAACCACAATATCTCTGAACAGGCCTTTTGAAACCTGTACAACGAAAGGTTGTACACTTTTCAGAAACGTAAATGAATAGGTCATGTGATTAAAAACCATTGTGACGTATTAAAACAAATATAATTACATGACTTGCTGAAATATCTAGATGAAAGAACCAGACAGGTCAGACGTTCCTACACGCTGAAAACGTTCATGTGAGCTAGTATTCTTGATAAGACATTCACCAGCTGCTTGAATACAGTACTTTAGGTGTGGTCTTACATATGCGGTATGTAAAATTCGAAGCATGTCCTTGTCAAGCATTCGAATCCTTGGAGAAATGAACATAACTCACGAAAACGTTTATACAGCTGCTGATTTGCAATTTCTTGTTAAATTAAAGTCATGACATACTATTACCCGTAAGCCTTTGTGTTCCTGAACTCATGGAAGAGATGCAGCGTTGATAGCATACTGGTAACTATAACAGTGTCCAATGTCGATGAGCACACTTAATTTCATAACGAATATAAGACGGACACAAGATTAAATCAACTACAAAATTTTCAGTATTTCTTATTCAATCAAAAAAAACAGCTTTGTTGAAAGATCCATTACTGAGAAAGAGAACAATAAAGTATCATTTATAAAGAACGTGTTTTACATTACAGTTTACTCTTCATGTAAGCTGATAATAACATAACTGAAAAGATTCTCCCGTCAGGATATAGAGCACAAGAATTCCAGAGTTGAAAAAATGATCTAAGTAGATTTTTAAAAGTAATCTGATTGAAATTGGTTACACATAAATAATGAAGTTCAGGGTTGAATAATGAAGATTCAGTTCTCATTATGAACTGATATTAGTTATAATATAAAATGCTGTGTAGCGCCAAGGCTAAATTGATACTATGCATAAAATCACGAGTTGCCACATATATAGTTCAATCAGCAAAAATATATTCCTGGTAGGTTCAGTCTTCTTTAAGGATAGTATGGTTTACGAATAGTATCGATTGACCTATTATTGTTTATTCTATCAGAAGAAAGATGAACAGTTAACGTGCTGTGAAACATGATTTTCATCTTATGATTGTAGAAACCAATTTTTTTCGTGAACTATTAAATAATATTTCTTCTTAACGCTATACATAAAATAGTTGTATTGACAGCAATGTATGATATTTTGTTAAAGATGTATTAGAGATTGTGTACAGTGTATTTGAAAAGAGTACAACTAGTTATTAGGACCATATTGAACATATTTTATTGATTAGAGAAAATGTTCAACACGATTGTGAGTTACTAAATGTATCCTAGTGATGAAAGTACAGTATTCGAAACCACTTCACCTTTATCATTATATTAACGAAATAGAAAGCATGTAAAATTTACTTGATAAAATTGCTTTTTTTTTATATAACTCAACAAAGATCTGTGAAAAGTGTTATATCTTGTGACTGCGGATTAGATGACAGTGAATTATCGATCGGACTAAGGACGCGTAAAACATGTGCGAGCAGCCTAGAGTCCTGACTAGTTCTGCTTCCCGCCCAGCTCAGCCAGTTAAGTCGAGAACACCAGTCTCAGCCTCTGCAATATGAATCATTATATTTCAAATATACTGAGTTTATATCCCAACTAAACAAACCACAACGTACCAATAAAATATGAAGCAACATTTGTATAACAATTAGCCAGATGTAGCTGTGAATGAGGGAGGTAGTAATTCATATACTGAGCCAAAATAAAGCTTATAATAGGAAGAATATGAATATGAACAGTTTACTTAATTAACTATTAAACGATAAAAATATACATTTAGTATTGGTCCACAAATAGATCCAAAAAGTTACCATTCATTATGTTTATTGGGTCCTAACAAAAACTACACAGATTGATAACAAATTGAACATGCTTTGAAAATGTAAACAAACATTTCATTATTATATTGAATTCTCATTTCATTTTATTCATTGCATATTAAAAACAATGATGAACATTGGATAGTTGTAAGTTATTACTCATTACTATTATAGAATAACAAGGTTTATAAATTATAATACAATGAATAAATGATAGTGTACAAAACATTTTCATAATTAAGAAGGAACGAATTGAGCGAAGAAATTTCTTTGTTATTAGTTTTTCATCATGGCTCTACACTAATATATATACGTTTTACAATAATAATATAATACTCATCGAGTGGATACGTTACGTAATAATTACATAATGACATTTAAATTAACATTCAGTAATTGGAAGAAAGAGGATTATTAATATTCAAAGTAATCAAGAAGTTGCTATGTTGCGTAATATAAGAAACAAAGAAGGAATAGAAATTTACCGGATGGTCAATAGGATAGTAGTTACGTAAGAATCAAGAGATGAATGTTGAGAAGTTATAAGGCTCAAAAGCGATAGAAACAAAATTACAAAAAATTACAAAAAATTTTAAAAAATTTTAATACAATTCGACAGGTCCGTCACCGCACTACAGAACATCATCCAACATGGCTAAGCAAAGTACAGGTGAAAGTGATTAAAAGTTCTATTCTCTCTCACTTGGTTGACACAGGTCATCAAGTCGAAGTGAATAAAGCTTTTAAGGTTATCTACAATATTCCATCAAATCTACCACATGGTTTACGAGTGCGCCTTTTGCACATTGCGGAAGCCATCGCAATCCATGTTCACAAACCAGACCTTTGCATCCAAAAGAAATTCGTACAACCACTTTCTCTACCCTGGCCTTCAGTATAACATTTCCGTCAGAAGAACTATTTTTCATACTTCTTCCATTTTTATTTTTAATATTAAAATTTTTGTAATTTTGTTTCTATCGCTTTTGAGCCTTATAACTTCTCAACATTCATCTCTTGATTCTTACGTAACTACTATCCTATTGACTATCCGGTAAAATTTCTATTCCTTCTTTGTTTCTTATATTACGCAACATAGCAACTTCTTGATTACTTTGAATATTAATAATCCTCTTTCTTCCAATTACTGAATGTTAATTTAAAGGTCATTATGTAATTATTACGTAACGTATCCACTCGATGAGTATTATATCATTATTGTAAAACGTATATATATTAGTGTAGAGCCATGATGAAAAACTAATTGAAAAGAAATTTCTTCGCTCAATTCGTTCCTTCTTTATTTACCAAATGGCAAAATGGGAATTTTCACTATATTTTCATAATTGACATTTGTTTCTAAAATTTGAATGTATCAAAGGTTACTTACGTCTATTGAGGACATTTGTCCCTGATGATGTCTGTGTTATGAGATATTTTTATGATTTGATTGTTACTTTGAAGTATTTATACAACAAGATTTTGATGTCTACAATAAACTAGTTGTGATTATGTCATACAATCTAAATGTGTCTATGTACTTTGTTTTTTTTTTTCATATTTACACAGAAATACGGAAAGAAATCTGATAAACCAGGTAGAATGATTAGTATAATTTGTTTGGTTATTTGAAGGTGATTCCATTTTACGGTGAATATGTTATCCAACTCAGGCAATGGATGAACGGTTGAGCAAGATAATAGATCCATTAGAATTAGACAATAATACTGTTGTATACCGGAATCAGTAGTTTAAAGAATAAGTGTTCTTGAGCAAGTCTAAAGATCCAGGTTCGATTTCTGCTTACGTCATCTTAAATGTGCACTACTGAAGAGTCTCATAGTAGGATGAAACAACCGCTCAATGTTTCCAGATATTCAATGATGATCTAGCTAGATCGAGTTGTGAATTCAACTGTGAAAAAATACTACAATCTCCACAAATCTCCATACTTAAGATGTTTCATAATTTACTCGTCTGATGGATGACTGAATTGTAGATCACTCCGAACACCCGTTTCTTTTTTACTTGAGGAAAGATGTGACAGTATATTACGTGACGATCGTGAACTGATCACACAATAAAAAACTTCATATTCCATTTAACTAATTAGTTTGAGGATTTCATTTGAAGGACACAATAACTAAGATGTTGCAATCAAATGCGATGAGATGTTTAATAGATAAATATCAGTGCTAGTTATTAACAACCGGAATCACAAAACTTTACTGACCAATTCGTATGTTAAAGGTTGTTTATTTTCTTAAGTATTATGTTTACATTTAAATTATTATGTGCTATGTTCAAGCATCAGTTAATATTTGAATGGAAGTACATTTAACCGATATGTAGAAAACATTGATTCTACATTTAACTGTTAAACACCAACCAAAGAATATTCAATCTAATCCGTTCTGTTATAAGTCATGCCTAATTCTCATTTCAACTAAGTTGAATCCGAAAGTAATCAGTAATATTGAATAGAAATCTAAGTCATTATAAGTTATGACACAGACCAATACTCTGTGACCAATCAGTTGTAAGTAGTTTAAAATGCCATTTTATCCATTAAAATTCTTGATTCCACAGATCGATCAATAAATATGGACATTACGAGGAAACGTGTTATAGGTAAATTGAATTATCATAACCTTCTCAATATTACATTCACAAATATGATTTTCATTTTGTAACTAACTAAATTGTGATAGTGAACTAATTTTAACACAAAATATCATGATAATTTGGCAACGATCAGATAGGTGGTTATTTACAAGAAACTGATAAATATGGTATAATGTTTCAAATTATTTGAATTGTAGTATGAACTAAGAATCCCAGAAATAACGCAATTGAATCATGAAGTATTAGATGAGCACAAAAGAATGTATAGTATTTAGGATTTGAAATCAAGCATTCAACAAGTGCATAAAAAAGCATTAGTTAATTCAAACACCACATCCGCCACAGCTCAAATTGGAATAGAATTGTCTGTAATAGGTTGTACGACTTCTTCTTAAGTTTATCCTGTGTCTGTAGTATCTAGAATGTGCTCATTAGTATTGGAATTAACAAACGAAATCGGAACAGACTCACCTGGGTCCCGAAATTGTATACAATTAGCATGTCGATTTTGTAATGAAATCATTAATATCTAGAATTTGAACCATAGATTTTTCAACACTATCCTCCACCACGAAATAATGTTCGATCCTTATATCACCAAGGTGTGAATACTGTAGTTTCATTTAAAACATATTTCCCACATTGGTTAGAGTAAACATTAGAAGTAACTTTGTGATAAGGATAAACAGCAGTTGATATGAAATCATCTGAATTGTAATTAAAATCAAGGTCATTTAGTACTTGTGCTTCGCACTGAACAAGTTTCCCACGAGAAACAAATCCAGTATGAGGACAAACAATATTTGATAGAATATCCAGATTTGATTCTTCTGAAATAGTTTCCTCAAAGTTATTAAGAATGTCATTGCAGAGTAAAAGCCCATTAGAAAAATTAGCATCTATCAAAACTACATCAGGTTTTTGATCATGACTAGGTTCATTCAACATATTTTTCTTCAGATTTGCAACGAATTTCGCCAGAAATAAGTGGATCATTAGGAAAAACCATATCTAGTACAATGACATGAGAAATCTGATAAATCGATCCGTTAGAAACTGTTGTCTTGCGAGAATTCCGAAGTTCATTTAACTCTGAACTGCTATATGACTCTACACTGTCTATTGCAATCGTTGATAAAGATAAATCATCATTATAAATACTCGGCTTAATAGAATCAGAATTACAAGACTTAATATTCCTTGCAGCAAGATGAACAGTAGTATTACAAACTGACTGAATATGTTCAATATCACCACATTTAAAGCACTTAGAATTACGAAATTGACATAAATTAAAAGTGTGGAACATGCCACAGGACAAACACTGACCAAACTTGTGCCCATCCTCGTGAAATGCATTGCAACTCCTCAATGAATTATCTGCATAGCCTTGAGTATGCACTGGGTCGGGATGACGTAGTAATGTTATAGTATTTTTTATATCCTCATGAATCATTTTACGAGATCTCCCTCTTTTACCGCATTCGAAATTTGTATACTGAACATAGTCTAAAAGTAGTTCCTTGAGAGCTATATAAGGAAGCGAAATGGGCTTTTCCGGTAAAGCCAGAGTTTGTAATTAGCTGTATCCTTCTTTTTCGATGAATGTGAGGAAATGTGCTTCAATACTAACATCCTCATCATCTTCCTTTGTCGTAGCCCAGAATTCAAAACTTTCAAGGTAATCTTCAAACGCTTCAGAAGTTGAATGAATATCTAACTTTTCCATCGCAAGCTCCATCACGACGCCAATAAACTGTTTTGAATTATTTGAATTATAGCATGAACTAAGAAACCCAGAAATAACGCAATTGAATCAAGAAGTATTAGATGAGCATAAAAGAATGTACTGTATTTGGAATTTGAAATCAAGCATTCAACAAGTGCATAAAAAAACATTAGTTAATTCAAACATCACAGATGGTTAAACTGAAGAAATATATAGTCATTTCTATAGACTAGAGAAAAGTTCACAGTAACTGACTGGTAAACACTCCATTATTTTCGATAGTTCTGTAGTCAGTTTCACTCTGTGTGAATAATTGTATCATGCAACTCAATTCATAGTAAAATTTCTTTCATATACATTGTAAGTCAACAATTCAGTAAATGGGAATATATTTCAATTTTACCTCAGTGATTAATATGTAATTAGTCGACTGTTGATAATCAAGAATAAGTGACTTGATACCGTCGAGTTCAACGACATTTGATGATAATCAATTACATAAGAAGTAATGACTAAGTATCATTATCATACTAATGAATTATGTTCTGATGAACTGAAGACTTTTGAGTAAGTAATTTAACCGTGCAGTCATAAATTAAGTATTGATTCAGGAAAATAAGTTATACTCTTCTTATTTTTCTACCCATCTACTCCGAAGAAAACAGTAATACTGGTCATTTGAATACGGCAGGTTAGCTATTTACTATTTGAGTTAAAATACCTATGAATCATAATTTAATTTGTAATGATTTGTATTATTCGGTTGTTGATTATCTGACTGGACGTTGAATAACCTTAGTTTAGATATATTCAATTTGTATGGATTAACTCAAACGAACCATTATGTTACAAGTTTATATGAAGGAGACAACATGTGGTTGGCAGTGGAATCTAGAGCGTTTGTTTCATTGTACTTGAGACTGGTTGATTGACTGTTCCTGCATCACAGCATTACCGTGGACCCAGAGATTGAAATCAAGCACCTTTCACTTCAAGAATCAACTCTATATTTGTTTGCCTATCAAAAAGTCATATTTGCTCAGTTGTGTGAAGTCTATGAGGTAAACGATTCAGAGATGCAGATTTATCTAGTCAGCAAGTCCTAAATCAGATTAGGTGTGTGTCATGAACTCAAAGGATATCTAATTTTGATCGCATTTATTTAAATCACATCATCTAACCTACAAATCGATGCAAACTATAATGAAACGGTCATTTGTAGCTGATTTTATAATATATACAACCATATGTCACTTTTGACTAACCTGTTGTACTGGTATTATACATTCAATCAAGTTGTAATGCGACTATAAATCCAGATTGCTTGATATCGCGTTCATAATGTGTATGATGTAACGTGATTGATGACATTCGACAGGAAACCTTGAATCTCAGTTTTACTGGAGCTGAAACTATAATATAGTAAAACTAACCGCTTTAAATTACCAAACACAGTAAATCATTAACAGAATTCTCGATATTCCATTTTTAATATATCATCTTATTACTTCTTTTCTTTATTTCAGGAGCTCACTTCACCTGGAAAATAATGTAAGTTTAGGAATCTTTAAATTAGGAAAAAGAATCCCATACTATTCACTTATTCATCTACAAATAATTCTTAGGAGGCCTACAAAAGCGTTTGATGTTTCAACAGATCTGTAGGAGAAATATCATGGTTTCAATAATAAATTTCCTACTTCACATCATCTTCATAGTAAAAAGTTAGATATCAGTTATATTGTAGTGAACTAAAACACGGGTGAGGGCAATCGAATCTATTACAGAGTTACTTGATAAAATAGAAAAACCATATACTAAATCGTTAATTTGCAAATTATTTATTCATCATATCAAACTGGACTGTTCCTGTCACAAACATTATGTGACGACGGACCACCGGTGAGCTCGAGGAAGCTGTAAGAGGCTCAGAAGGAGCCGAAGACGTTCCATCCAATCACCTGTCGGAAGAATGTTCTAGAATTCCAACGTGTAGCTTCCCCATTGGATAATGCTAATAACCCCCTGTACGCGGATTGGAAGACTGTAATGATGATTTCGTTCTCACTAAAAACTATAAATACCTGATAAATTTTTACTATGTTTGACACTGTTTGGAATAATATTCCTTTCGTTAGTCTTCTGTCTTCTTATTGCGACTTGGAAGGGTTTGGTGTTCTAGTGCTCAGTTATACGCGGTTGTATCAAGAAAAATCAGCTTTTTCAAGTTATAACACATTAATTGATTGTTTCACATTTCATTATTCATGCGTTTTCATACAAATATCATTGTGCTCCAGCTCTTACTTTCCTGATCTTTACCCATCTTCTGCTGCCAGACATTACATTCTTGACTCACGTCATATACTACTTATATCAATATAAGTAATACATACCACAGTATCATTACTATTATCACTAATAATTTGCTGAAATTACTTTTAACATTTCTGGCTTCCTATTTTCCTTTCTTTATTTTAGAGGAATTGGGATGATCTATCTTGTGATATTTATTTGCATTTGTATATGTATATACTTTACAATCAAACATTAAATGAAATTAGTGTTTCCTACTTATGTATGGCAAAATGTCTTCTTGTACACAAATGAATAAAAACCGTTGTATATAATTAAATTAATCTTGGATTTTGTTTTGTTTTTGTTTTCTTGCTGAATAATCTAATATCTATGTGTAATGAGATTATAATTTATGGACGCCTTTTGAGTCATGCTAAAATGACTTTGAGAGTGTTCCCCTAATAACTAAGACTAAATAAGGGTCATAAACCAAGATGAAGAATTAGAATTATGATTCACAGTTGACGGTTATGATTAGGAATTAGATTTAAGGATTTCATCACGAACTGATCATCAGCTATAGTGTCAAAAGTCTATTTAGCCAAATGGATGAATGAATTTCGTGCCAAAATTCGAGATCTGTTAGCCTACATGTGATTGATACGTCCATAAATTATAGTCTCGCCCTATGTGTCAGTTATTGGTCCATGTGAATCAAGAGGTTACGTTGAAATCATTTGCCTTTGGTTTTTATTCATAAATAGCATCAGTGAATGGTTTCTTCACTTTTTCACCGATTTCCTAATTCTTGTCTTTTTATACATAACGAGTTTTAGGGATTGATGCTTACTGTTAATATTGCTTTGTAGATGTTATTAAATTTCTCATAGTTTTCATTATGGAGGTTTGTTACTTAAGCAATCACTGTAAACCATAAAGCACGGAAGAGCTGTTTTATCTTATTATAGAACATCACAACAGTATTCCTAATGGACACATTTATACAATCGTAGGAATTTGTTTTAATGCCTACACATATAAAGTGGAAATGTACACAGTCTACTCAGAATGAAAACACACATTTCACCTGACACACATGTAGGTTTAAAAAGCCTAAATTAGTTTGATGCGCACAAGCCTATTTCAGTAACAAAATTGTAAAAATCTCTCGATATAGATTAATGATGATAAATTGAGAAAATTTGATTCTGTAACTGGAATAAGAATAGAAAAATAACTTTATGACTTCAGATGAGTACCTTCTTACAAAAAATGGTTTATTTAATAAAACCGGACATAATATATTGTGTCTGATACTGATGAACCACAAGAAGGGAATTTTCCACAACAGAAACAAGCAGTGCAGAATAAATCAGAGAAATGGCTGATCAGTAAAAGTACTACAGATTGTATCATGTTTGTTTTGAATAAGAAAATTAATCGATTGAGTATTCGGCTACTTGTGATTGTTAATCAAACGAACAGATCAATACTATTTCACTCTTCATGAAAAAATAACGGATTTGTATTAAGTCTTTTAATGAGAATATAAATCTTAACGTAATTAAGGTTGTAGTTGCACGACTTCTTTTACTGTCGATATTGATAACCAATAGAGATAGCTTCAATGATCATTATCGAAAATCCTTATAACAGTAAAGATCTGCTACTAATATTTTGATCGAGTTGTATCAGTAATGTAACAGAAATTAGTCCGTATAGTATGAGCCTAGATCAACTATATTTATAGTCAACATATTTCATTTCTAGAATTTCTCTGACGTCTATGTTATTCAGCGAAGTAGAAAACACAGAATTAAACAAATTATAGTAAACGGAACGACCAACAAGTCATCGGATACTTCACTTATTTGGGCCACCCTGATTTCTGGCGGATAATGGAATCAGAGGAGCTGATGTTATAAGTAAAAGAGAAACAAAAAGGTTGTTGACTGACTACTCATTCTCAGCTTGGAGTTAAAAAAAATTGTTAAATTTCGTCAAACTTATGAACTGTTCAGTGTTAGGCCACCACTGACAACCTGAAAGCACTGGATAGACGTTTCATCCTATAATGAGACTTCTCGGAAGTGCGCATATGAAACCTCGCATGCGGAAATGAACTCTAAAACCTTCAGTCTCACACGAAGATGTAACAACTAGTTTAAGTGAAGAGCCATGAACAGTGGAGTGCAATCGTGTCTGGTGTGACGCATTTACCCACTAAACACAATAAATAGTTAAATCATATCTGGAAGTTAAGAGGTCGAGTGTGAAACAGACGGTCATGGGCTTGATTACTGCGTGCTGGATCGTGGACACACACTGTTGAAGTGTTACATAACAGGACAAAACGGTCATCTAATGCTTCCAGATTTCAATGGTGGTCTATCATTGATGAATTCATGATTCCAATAAGACTCCCTCTTCGTAGGTACCGGAAATAAATAATGATTTGATTAATAAATCTTAGAACAAAATATTGTAAAGAATACCGAGAGACTACAAGAGGATGTTTATTTTAAAAACGCCGAAAATGAGCGTGACATAATTCGAAAAATGGCTATATTTGATGTTCTATGAAGAAGTGTCTTATATTAGGTGATGAAACGTAAGAAATACAATTTCCTACTTCCTGGGATATAACAAAAATTTATTTATTATTAGCCGGATAGAAATTATTTCTCATACTGATACACTAAGGTTACATGATACAAATTTGGTTGTTTGTTTGGTATCGCGTGATTGTTTAACCAGCACAGATAAACTAGCCATGTTCTCTGCTTTATGAAATCACACGTTACATCCAGTGATTCATTCAGTATAGTGATGGAGAAGGTCAAAGTTTATTGCTGTTGACGTTTTAGAGTTAGATTACGACTTTTCACGAGAATAATAACAAGTAATAACTGTTGTCATTTTGATAAAAACGTATGAGGTATGAGCAGCACAGCGTTTGGTCAATTATCTGCATATTCCTGCCTGCTGAGTGCAAAAAGTTAATATTAAATTCTATTGTACGAATAATTTATTTCATGCTTGCCGGGTATACATACAAACAAATGAAAAAAATAAACATTGTACAGAATCAAACCAAAATGTGACTGTGAGGGACGGTTATTAGTAAACTCAGTAAAACCTAAGAACAATAAAATGTATAGTTACTGTTTATAAGTCATAGTAAAGTTAGTTATACCTTAGGAATATATGAATAATATTAGCCCACTACTAGTTCATAGAAGTTGCCATAATTTGATCTTCGCTACGATATCACAAATATCAACAATAAACTTTACTTGTATTCACATCAAATGTTCTAAACCAAGGAAGAGCCGAACTATAAGGAGCTTAGTAGCGTAACAAAATATTATTGATGAGATCAAAAATAGATGAATATGAATATTTGTCGAAGAAACAAAATATCTGTATACAATAGAAACATATGGGCAATGCATTAATGAAGACCGGTATATTTGTAAAATATTAGCGATTAAATATTAGGCCGGCTCCAATGAATCCACCGGACATAGAAGTAGCACACAAAGATCTTCCTATAGATGTCAATCCACCAACGATGGAAGAAATCAGAATGGTCTTCAGGCAAATCAAGAGCGGGGAAGCAGCAGAACCCCACAACATACCACCTGAAGTACTGAAATCAGACATCGAAGTAACTACAAACATGCTTTACCTTCTATTCAAAAAGATTTAGGGGGAGGAATAAGTGTCGACGGACTGGAAAGAAGGACAGCTCATCACGATTCCAAAGAAAGGAGATCTGAGCAAATGTGAAAACTACAGAGGCATTACACTACTGTCAATACCAGGGAGAGTCTTTAACAGAGTGTTGCTGAAACGGATGAAAGATGCGGTAGACGCTCAACTTCGAGATCAACAACCTGGACTCCGTAAGGATCGGTCGTTCACAGACCAAATTGCAACACTACGGATCATCGTCGAACAATCGGTTGAGTGGAACTCATCACTGCACATCAACTTCATTGATTATGAAGAAGCATTTGACAGTGTAGATCGGAGAACGTTATAGAAACGTTATACAGACCTCGACATCTGAGGGGAAACACAGCATACAATGAACATCTCACAATCAATTAGACGATTTGGACTTCTCAGATTACCAAGCCCTCCTATCGCATACACACGAACGAATGCAGATAATGACAGCCAATGTAGCAGCAGTCACTGCACCAATAGGCCTCAACATACACAAGAGGAAAACCAAGGTCCTCAAATTCAACACGAAGAACAGGAATTCAATCACACTTGATGGCGAAACTCTGGAAGATGTAGAATACTTCACATACCTGGGAAGCATCATCGATGAAGAAGGAGGTTTAGATGCAGACGTCAAGGCGAGGATTAGCAAAACAAGGGCCACTTTCCTACAATTGAAGAACATACAAAACTCAAAACAACTTTCAACCAATATCAAGGTGAGAATCTTTAATACGAATGTCAAGGCAGTTCTACTGTACGGAGCTAAAACTTGGAGAACTGCAACAACCATCATCTAGAAGGTGCAAGTATTTATAAATAGCTGTCTATGCAAGATACTCAACATCCATTGGCCGGATACAATCAGCAACAGCGTTTTGTGGGAGAGAACAAAACAGCTCCCAGCTGAAGAAGAAATTAGAAAAAGACGATGTAAATGGATAGGACATACACTACGCGAATCGTCAAACTGCATCAAGAGGCAAGCTCTAACTTGGAATCGTGTAGGGAAGCGGAAAGCAGAAACGCCAAAGAACACATTACTTCAGGAATTAGAAACAGATATGAAAAGGATGAATAACAACTGGACGGAGCTGGAAAGGATTGCCCAGGACAGGGTTGGATGCAGAACGTTGGTGAGCGGCCTATGTTCCCTCACGAGGAGTAACAGGCGTAAGTAATTAAGCGAGTAAATCCAACGTTTCACTCGAGAAACTCAGCTGGGCATTTTCAGGAAAATTGTTCTATTCGGGCGAAGAATAAGTGAGTAGTAATCGCAAGGATCTATTTGTGGAATATTATTATATATAAATACTTCCTTACACATATCGCTCTCAATGGAGCATAGGCCGTCGACGAGCATTCGCCAACCCACTCTTTCCTTAGTCTTCTTTTCCAGCTCTATCCAGTTTTTGTTCATTTTTCTCATATCTATCCCCATTTCTCGACGTTATTTGTTCCTTGGTCTTCCTCTTTTCATTTTGCGTTGAGGATTACATGTGATGAGAGTTTGCTTTATGACGTAGTAATACGGTACTTTCCTCATTGTGTGTCCTATCCACTTCCAGCACTTCTTCCTGATTTCTTCCTCTGCTGGGATCTGGTTTGTTCTC